CTTGATTTATCGCGGAGAGTAGGTACTGCCTCTCGTGTTGTATGTGGCTCTCTCTCTCTCTCTCTTTCTCTTTCTCTGTCTAACTTTTAAGCGTGTGTAGTACGTTGTATATTATATATATATGTATATATATATATATATATATAAAGTTCTTCTTTCTCTCCCGTGGTTTGGTTGGTAGGCTGGTTCTTCTAACAGACACATACACACACACACACACTGGCCGTTGATATTATTCTAACTTTCATAAGGAGAATTAGAAAATTAATCCATTATTGTTCCTTGATATTTTCTTCCTCAACTATACGATACAATTCATTATCGATCACGATCTCGATCACGTTTGGATCCATACGTCCATCAGCAGTATTAACAAACATCTCCGTGATATTAGATAAAAATTGACGAATTTTTTTACTATTCTTCGTGCGAATAGAATAAGAAAAAAAGAGAAAGAGAGAGATAGAGATAGAGAGAGAGAGAGAGAAATGTTGGTACGCGATGATATACACCGATGTAGTGATTAGGAGATAGAAGACCCTCCTTCTGGGTTTTTGATTTCTTCGCTTCCGTAATGTTGTACAGTGGCTTGTCTCAGATTCTCCCTCTTTTCTTTTTTTCCTTTTTCTCTCTTCCCTTCGACCCCTCCTTCCTATCTTCCCTTTTCTTTTCCTTTCTCTTCTTCTCTTCTCTCACTTTTTCCTTTACTTTCTCTCTCCCTCTCTTTTACTCTCGTTTCTCTACGTACGACGTTACGAACATTTGTATATACGCGTATATGTATACATATACATATATATATATATATATATATATATATATATATATATATACAAGAAGAAAAAAAGAGACACACGACGGGACGGCACTAAATCAGTTCCACCGTAAAATCCTGCTAAAGCACGCGTAAGGAACGTGAATCACCGACGTAGTATTGAGATACATAGATAGAAAAAAAAAGAGAGAGAGAGAAAGAGAGACAGAATATCAGGGAGAGAGAGAAAGAGAAAGAGAGAGAGAGATGTTCGATGAATCGCGCACGCGCTCCTTCCGTCCGCTTTATTTATTCCCCCTTTCGATATCACGCGTATTTCTCGACACTCTTCTTCCTTCCTTCCTTCACGCACCCACGAGAAAAATATAGATTGGTATATACATATTATATGTAATATATTCTTGTAATACGTATCCACATATATATGTATATATATGTGTGTATATAGAAATATATAGATATACGTACGTACGTAAGTACACGTATATATATATATATATTCTTTTGGCTTTTGTTCGTTCGAAAACGATAACGCACGAAACCGACGGAGAAATATGTAACGAGAGATACGCACGTGCGAGATTCGTTGACGAAAAATCAACCTTCTCCGACGCCGGACGAACACGCACTGCCGTCCGAGAGTGGGGAGACGCGTTAGCCGGCAACGTACGACTGTGTTCGGTTCGACTCGACAGTCACCGGCAGACTTCGGCACGTAAAGTCTCCCCACTCTATCGCTTACCGTCACATCGACCCTCTCGCTCACTCTATCCTTTTCTCTTACTCTCTTTCTCTCTCTGTCTCTCTTTGTACCGTCCACGCGTTTCGTCCTCGCGTCTCGCTACGGAGTCAGGACGATGGTCCAGCGATCTATACAGGGTGTCTCTTTATTATCAATAATTTAGAGAAAATCTATTATCATCGTCAAAATTATCTATCCTTTTAAATTATTATATTTAAAAAGATTATCATATTTCCAAGGTACTTCCCTTTTTTCGTTCATTATTTCGAAAATTTTATTTCTTTTTTTTTTCTTCTTCATAATAGGTTAGAAAAGAAATCTATATATATATATATATATATATATATATATATATATATATATATATGTATATGTATATGTAGATATATACGGAATCGATTTTATACGAACGATGATCCATTTGATATTATCAATGTACATGTATATTGTTAGATAGAATAATGACAAATACAATGAAATAGAAAGAAAAGAGGACTATTATTAAAATCGTTATAAACAAATGGCGTACATATGAGAGTTATCGTTGAATGTCAAAGTATGATTTTGTATTTTAATAAACAAAAAGTTTTCAACTACGAACACCCTATATTTACGGAGACGAACGTTCGCGTGTGCGCGAGGCCGCATACGTGCACACCTGTTTTTTCAATGCGTGCGTGTGCACGCGACGCGAAAGTAGACACCGTGCGCGTTACGGAAGAGAAAAAGGGAGAGACAGAGACAGAGACAGAGAGAGAGAAGAGGAGAGAGAGAGAGAGAGAGAGAGACAGGAGAGTGGCCAGTTGAAGAGGAGGATGCTGTTGGAGGCGCGGGCGCCCTGCCGCGGATAACGAGATGCCTCCAGACTCGGTGGAGGCCTCGATCGCTAATTATCGCCTTCGGGTGAAGCCCTTTTTCGGGATAAAATCGAGTGTGTCGGCGATTCATCCGTAAAATCATCGCCACGCTAAGCTTCCCGCCATATCTTGCGCCATTATGCGAAGGTAGGTTGGTAGGTAGGTATTTTAAAGTTCTCAATGTATCGAGAAAGGTAGAGGGAGGGAGGAAGGGCGAGAGAGAGAGAGAGGTAGAAAGATAGAAAGAAAGAATATTCTCCATTATCGAAGAATAACGAGGCAGGTTATACTGCAAAAACGGACCGGTAAAAGAAATTAAAGGCAATCTCGTTACGCCATATACCTATTCTCTCTCTCTCTCTCTCTCTTTTTCCTTTACACGAGTTTTTTTTCTTTGTTTCCTTCTTTCTTCCTTCTTTTTCTTTTACTTTTCTTTTTTTGAGAAAAATCGCCATGATTTTTAGAATCGATCGAATTAGAGGAACAAGAGAGAGAGAGAGAGAGAGAGAGTGAGAGAAAATGGGGGTGGCGATGATTTTTTCGTCTCTTTTTTTTCTTCTCTTTTTCTTTTCTTTTTTTTTTTTTTAATTGCGTGGACGGAAAGGTCCGACGATTATCAGAGAGAGACAATCTCTCTCTTTCTCTCTTCTTCGTCGTCTTCGTCCTCGTACCGGATATAGAAAAGAAAGAGAAAGAGAGAACGACATCGTCTCGAGCAAGCTCGACTTCTACTAGGTAAGATTTTTCGATCGTTGCTTTAACGATACACCTCCTCCGGTGTAGGCCCGGTCGCGACCGGTTCTCCTCGAGTCCTTTCTCGTATCAGGATCGAGAGATCTAGCAGAGAACCATCTCCGAAGGATTTCGTATCGAGAGAGAGAGAAAGAGAGAGAGAGAGAGAGAGAGAGAGGGAGAGAGGGAGAGAGTCTGGTTAACGAAACGAAAAAAAGAGAAGAGAAGAGAACATACGATCGAGATCTACACCACGAACTCGACTCGTACTACGTTACTACTATACGACAGAAACGACAGAGAAAGAGAGAGAACGAGTAAAGGTCCTTCTCGAATTCGCATGGTGAATGACGTCACATACCAAGACTGAAAATAAGGGCCCAAATGTTTGCTACTCGTAGGGTCCCTTCGTGCATTCGAAAAAATGATACTCCCGTTCGACATAAATAACGAAGAATAAGCCCCTCAGGTGAGATGGCGAGAAACGAGCGATAAATAACGATACGTTCGAAGACATCGCGTTGTACACCTGCAATGAAAGAGAGAAAGAGAGAGAGAGAGAGAGTGAGAGAGAAGAAAAGAGAAGAGAAGAGAGAAGAGGAGAGTGATGACCGACGAATCTTTAATACCACGTTTTTGCCCCCCTTTTAATGTCCAACTTCCTCTGCCCGCAGGCCTAATGACAACGACACCTTTTGCTTTTACGTACTGTCACGTGGAATGAGACTCATCAATGTTGTATGGACGTATGTACGTTAACTTTTACCACATAGATCGTAATCTCGTTCTATTGTCTTCCATGAAATTGTCTTCCCTTTAAAAAAAGACGAAGAAAGAAGGAGAAAAAAAAGGAGAGACCAAAAAAATGTTCCCTTTTATTACTTACATCCTGTTCGTTTCGACGTTAAAGCTCAATGATATATCACGTTTGTTATGAATTTTATATTGTTATGTTAGATCGAAATATCAATATTAATTATATATATTTAATATTTTGCATAGATGTATGTTATACGTAAAATAATATTACTATGGTTAATGATAAAAAAAGAAAAGGAAGAAATGAATTTGCATGCGTAGAATTTATGAAAGAAGAAGAAAAAGGAAACGAAAAGAAAAGAAAGACAGCAAAATGATATGTTAAAAGGAAGAAGATGGAGAAGAAAAGAAAAAGGAAAAAAACAAAAAAGAAAAAGGAAAATAAAAAAGAAACGGTAGTACCTGTTATCGGTAAAAAATTAAAGTCTTCCGATCTCTCATAAAGTGTCGGGTCCACACGTAAAATCAGCTGTCAGCGAACGTGTTAATAACTTATCGCTTCTATTATCGACACTCGCCAAAGCTTCGATACTCGGTCATTATAGAATTCTAAAAGAAGAAAAAGGAATTGATGAAAATGATGGAATATATACCTTTACGGTATTTTCGTTATCGTCGGGCAATCGATCATATAGGGGCAAACGTGTACAGAGTCGATCGATCAAAGACTATCGCGCCTACGGTGTTGAGAAAGTTGCTTGATCTGAAATGAACGTAGTGGAGGAAGGCTTTTCAATTTCTCTGATCCCAGAGTAATGATAAAATGCCGATTAATATCGAATATTAACGACACGCGAGAGAAGTGTTAAGTTAAATGCACATTAATATACGAATTACGTTGATAAACTATAACACGATTTTCTATAATGTAGATATATATATATCTTATAAGCTGTTAAATTATAATTCGAACGATGTGATATTAATATTTATAATGAGGGGCAAGGAAGCTGGGGAGGGAGTTAAAAAGATCTTTGAATTTTAATTTATATTATTTTTAAAGTTGGTACGTAATATATATATATATATATATATATATATATATATATGTGCACATATGTATGTATGTATGTAT